CGCCTATGACTAGACCGAACAGCGTGATGTTAAGTCCCCGAAGTAATCGACCTGCTTAGGTCGAATAAATTGCTCGATCGCGTATCTGGTCCAAGGATAGTGTGGTCGACAGCCCTGCTTGGTCGACTAGTTAACTGCTCGATTTCCTTGGCTTCCTCATAATATGACCTCCTCGACCGGTCAACAGACCGGTTCCGCCTTGTGGGTATAATATCCCATATCACACGTAAGGTCACGATCGGTTGCGAGATTCCGACGAGTACTTCAAGAGGTATAGCTATCCTCAGTATATTTTCATGTCAATAAGTTGGTTTTAGGTTGAAGTGTTCGACTCATGTTCAAGAGGTTATAGTATTGCCGTGTTAAAGTTCTAATATGCCTAAGTTGAACCGAGATCGAGTAATTTCTTTTTCTACCCGGCAACTCTCGTACAATTCATGTTTATTTGTTCAGTTTAGATCATTTCATGCCCAGTTAGTCCATGTTGGTCGAGGCAAAATGCTGTTTTATGTGTTAATAGCCCGAAGCCGTCGCCAGCGCTCATCGCGCGTGGCCACGGGCGGTACCAATTCATGTTCTGTTACCTTCAGTTATGGTCATGTTCTTCCGTGCATTTATGTCTTAATTGCCTCAAAATAATGTTTCATGTTCTTTTGGTCTGGAGTTGCCGAGGGAAAAGGTGTTTTGGTCGAGAGACGGCCTATCGTTGTCGCCGGCGCACGGAGCGCTCGCCACGGCCCGTTCAGTTGATCATGCGAAGGTTATATTTTTAAGTCATTTTGATGATTATGTTCATAATGAGTCAGGTGATGTTGTTTTACGTTGAAGTTGTCGGAAAGAAACGTCGGACGGCCGACAAGTGTTGGTTGTACATGCGCTGCCCGCATATCGCGCTAGCAGCGTACCGGCAGGGGTACGTGGTACAGGTACTGCGCGGCAGAGCGCCGCGTAAGGCTGGTACCCACAGCAGATAGCCGTTGGCGATGCGCGTGCACACGCCAAAACCCCGTCATGCATGTCAGCGTGCAGTAACGCACGACGGCGCGCAGCAACGTGCGTTCAGTGGTCACACGCAGCGTCGCCTAGTGCACGCCTGCGACTCGGTAACGCCCAGTGGCACCGCAGCAATGCGCCAGCGCGTGCCATCACGCGTGACTGTGCGCAGTGCCGCGGGCAGTCCATCAGTTAGCCCCAGCGGGACGCCGCACATGCCCAGCACGCCCAGTCGCGCCTGGGACGGCTGTCCAGCACCCGCAGCAAGCCAGCA